TTGAAATCAGGACATCTATCAGTGGCATACTCCTTGTAGAGAGAGAAGTCACGTCTCCTCATCCCTCTCCACACCAAGTCCTTCTAATCGTCTGCCTCTGCCTTTATCGCGAGTTTTAGGACCTCTGGGAAATCAAGCCTGTCGTGCGGAAGATCTCTAAGTATACTCTTTTGCCTACCTTTGGACAAGTGTCCGATGAAGATAGTACAACGCTCGACCTCTGAGATCTTCCCCTTCTTCATCAGCACGTCGGAGATCTTTTGGAAACGCATCCCAAATGCCCGTACGCTCTCATCTTCATCTTGAGTCATCGTTTCAAGGTCCTTGATGGAATACTTGTTATCCTCCAATTTGTAAATCTCAACGAGGCTCTTCTTGTACGTAGTCCATTTTCCATCCTTCGGTCGAGCTTCCTTAACTTCCCTACCAAGACTTGGGTCCACATTAAATAGGAAGTTCTCTATAATCTCTTCCTCCGACCACTGACTCCGGCATGCGTGAAGCTCCCACTTCTTCAGATATTCTGTGATACCATAACCCCTGAAGGTAGGAGGCTCTGAGGCCTTGTGCGTAATAATATAGCGATCCTTGCTCTCGTAAGGGAGTGGATGTGACTCCCCTGTCTGGGGGTCGAAGACTCGCCTGGGCGGCGCCCTGTCTCTATCTCTGTCCCTCCAATAGGAATCCCTCAAATTCTCTCTCCAGTCGTCTCTGTGCCTGTCCGCTATGGTGTCCCTCCGCTCGTACTCGGGGGAGCGCCGCCTCGTCGCTTCTCGTCGTCCGCTCGAGGTACCCATCTTTAGAGCCTCCTACGGCTCTGTCGCAACTGGCTCGCCTCTCATGTCGGGCCCTCCGTCATTGGTTTGGTCAGCCCATCTCAGCGGTGCTTCTTGCCTAATTCGTTCCTTTAGATCCCTCAGTGCTCGATCAGGCGATGCCCTGTACTCCTCCCCTGCTTCGCCCGTGGTCGGTTGTGGCCCCATCGTGTCGGGTTCCATTGGACCGCAGAAGATGCAGTTAGGTATTCTAGCCAACTGTAACAGTCCGACCCTATGACAGTCGCTGCAGCCCGGACCTGTTTCTTTGTCAGGGCTCGCGTCCGCCTCCGATCTTAGTTCTCGACTGCCTTGATTATCACCTCCAGTATCCCGTACCGGTCGCAGATCTCGTCTTCTCTTTCTATCCCAAGAATCCCTGTGTCTAAGTAACCTCTCCTTCGGGATCGGTCAACAAGGTCGTGCCTGTCCGGATCCACAGTACGCCCGCGACAGGACCTCTATTCTTGAGAGAGATTGCAATCCCAAACCTAGCCAATGTCTCCTGATCAACGCTCCTTAAGAGTTCTCGAGCGTCTCGCTCCGTCGTTGCTAGTTCTTCTAGCCCATTCTGAATCAGTTAGCCCGCTAAAGRCCCTCCTACTGTCGCCCAATGTCGCCCATCGACCTTTCTAGCTTCCTTTATCTTTCCAAGAGTTTCCAATTTCTATTTCCACTACCTTATCTCCTCAACGGTTACGAGGTCATCTGTCCAACAGCTGAGGTAAGTTAGTGCTATAACGACTTGTAACCTCATCGCCGACCGCTCCAATATGTCATAAAATGTCTCAAAGTCCTCACTATCTCCCCCTTCGTCTATCGCCTCTAAAGTCTTCATCGTTTCCTTCCAGTACCGGTTGTGAGCGGTTAACACCCTGAGTATTGCACCATCTGTTACTACTCTCCCTAACTCTCCAGCTTTCCTGGCTTCGCTTATCTTCAACCTCGCAGCCTCTTTGGTCGTCTCGTACCATGCCCTTATCCGAGACCGCCCTTCGAAGGGTGTTACTCAGAGTACGTATTTTATCCTCCGTCCTCCTTCTATTCCAATCCAAAGCCCTGTCCCCCTTGCCTCACGCAGGGCACGGCGGAAACACTCCGCCTCCTCCACTATGCACAGTCTGGTATGGAGTTGGAGCTCTATGATCACTAATGGTCCGTCCAGTCTCCCTACCACATGTAATGAGTACCGATCCGTTGTGTGTACTGCAGTCCCGCTCATGTCCTGTCGCTACTCCCCTGCGTTACTTTGTCTTCCGTTGTCTCGCTCCCTGCAGATCGTTTACTAGTTTCTTCGCGTGATACGCTTCTAGCCTTTACCTTCTCCAAAAAGTCTGATCTCCACGTCTGGATATTCTCTCTCTCCTCCCTAAACAGACTCTCTAACTCTCTCGTCACGAGTTCAGCCCTTCGCAACTTGCCCTCGTCTTGACACGACCAGATCTCCCTTAACTTGTCCCCCAACTTCTTTACCTGGTTCAAGAGTGGTTCTTTAACGCGCTTTCTCACTCTTCCGACTGCCTCACTCTCCTCTTCCATTCTCA